ATCACCAAGAATCACAAACTCTTTTGATTTTATGCCTTTTATAATGTCAGTGAGCTGTGCTAAATAATTAGTTGAAGGCTGGAGGTTTATAAGTAACAACAACCGTTACTGAAAGGTTATTTGTAAACTTGATTTCCAATTGCAGAGATTCAGACTCAGTTGACAATTCTATTACAGAATGTGAGTATTTCTTGTGAACATAAACTGCAACACCACCTCCAAGCCTATCAGTACGGTCTCTACGATACAATGAATAATTTTCAACTGAGTTTTCAACTAAGATCCTTGAATTTGATGTTGTCCAAGGTGTGGGAACCCTGATATTTGTAATGTTTCTGTTATCTTATGATCAACACTTATCCAAACAAAAAGAAAAAAATGATACAACTGCAACATTTCATCACTGAATTTCATTAAGACATTTCTGAAGTTTAAAAATAATAATAGTGTTAACAAACGAAACGATTTTGTTAGAGCATCATCTTTCACACGTTTATACATGCCGAGGAGAACAGTTTCAGTTAGATGTTTACATACCGTAGTTTTGGTTCAAGCACCTGAATGAGCTGCTTGAAGCCTGCTGCGTTTTCCACTTCAGCGTACGAGTGCAAATCTTTGCAAACAAAAGTCGTCATGGTCTTTGTTATCTTTAAATTCTGCAGAGTCAGCTGATAATGTTAGTGATTCATTGTTTTTTGGTTTTGCCCTAGACTTGTCAGAAGCTAATGTTAGAACTGAACATCAACCGGATGTAAACACACGGCAAGCCAGGAGTGACACAAAACAAGGAAACAGGCCTCGGTCAAGACACCATGGGGAAAGATTGATCTCATGCCCAATGAATCTATTTTCCCATATTTAAATTAAATCGATCTAAGATTGAGTAAAACTTTTTTTTCAACACTCTTGTTTTTTTTATCCAGTTCGTTATGGATTTCAGTAAAAACAAATGCCGTTTCTCTTGTTTCGTATGAAATAGTTTGAAATTAAACTTTTAACCATGTAAAATAAATATATAAATGTATGGTGAAGTGAGGGACAATCTTTCTAAATTCACAGTTTCATTTGTGATGTCACCTTTTTCTCTTTCTGTAACTGTAGAGTCAGTCCAGATGGAAAAGCCTCCAGCAGCTCTTGGCACACAGTCCCAGTCCTCTTCCTCTAGTTCAGGGAGCTTGAACCCATCATCAGGCCCACCTGGATCGTCTGCTTCCACCGTGCCTGTCTCCCCAGTTCTTCAGTCCTCGACTCCTCCAATTCTCCAGGACCCCACTCTGCTTCGCCAGCTTCTCCCGGCCCTTCAGACGGCCCTGCAGCTCAACAATGCTAGTGTGGATATGTCAAAAATCAACGAAGGTAAGAAGAAAAATGGCTGCGAGGTGCACTTGGTTTGTTGCTTTTGGCCTGTTTCTGTATCTAGCTGACTGCAGTGCCTCTGGTATATTAGCACTGGTTACATACATCATACTTGAAATCATCTTAGTTCTTTATTTTTCATTGCTGGTGTTTTGGAAGAAAAAAAATGTTTTGGTMCATTTTTAATCCTTCCACATCAGCCAGACTGGTGCATATTCAGCTGATTGCAGGCACATCTGGTAGCAGGCCTGTGTTTTTGCTGAGCAAACAGTAAAATGACTGTGAAATTCTGTACAGACTGCTACTAACCTCCATCTCGTGCTTTCCACTGCCAGTGGACATTTTTGAATGAGCAGATTCACATCTGGTAGTTAAATGTATATACTCCAAAATGTCTTTGTGATCAGATGTTAGTTACACGCACTGTGTGCAGATTAGAGTTGTGCAAAACTGTGCTGTATATAATTAATTGTCAGAAAAACTGTCAAAAATTAATATTTTCCACTTTGTAATTACTCCAGTTAGGACTGTGTGATATGATTTTTGTCTGAGTCTGTGGCATGCTGTGTTGCCACTGCACATTGTGGAAAAGGTAGGTTTAAATCACAGCTTACTATTCCAGCCTGTTTAAAATGAAGAAGTTAGACTGATGTGTAGGTATAATTTAGAACACATGCTAACTGATTTAGAGTCAAACRTACAAGTGCAGTTGTCATCTATTAATCATCRTATTAGTCATAGTTGGCTAAATGCCATATTTGTGATTTTTGCCAACATCCCTCAACACTGCTGCAGAAACAGACACATCACAGTGAGGCTGAGCTGTTAATTACAATTCTTAATATGTTTAATTCTCTAACAGATATGAGATGTGGGGGATGTGAAAAAGTGAAAATGCCTATATATTGTCATAACTACATGTGCCCATATAATAACAAAATTTGATATGTCTCTATGTGGCCCTGTCATGTGTACCTAAATAAAATGATGAAGAAAATGAGTTGRTGACAGGATATTTTTCTGGCCACATTAAGTAGCAATAATTCATTACTAGAGGTGGGTGACATATATCGCAGACGATATTATCGTCCATGTTGCTTTGAAGATATGCAATTTTACATTATCGAGTATTCATACTGTCACGAAAAAACAACAAATACGGTGGTGATATAAGTCTCCATTCGCAGAATATTTGCCACAGAAACCAATCAGTGGGCAGGATTCAGTCATGTGACTGAGGTCGGTGGCAACTGAACTAAACAGCGGGCAGAAATTCAGTCTTGGACTTGCAGCAGTCAAAACCACGGGGCTTGAAGTTCTCCGTCACCACGACAGATTTTCGTAACCTTGAACATGGCCAGGACGGATTTCCGTCATCTGTAAATAGGGGGGGAGAACTCTGGTTGTTTTTTGTTGTGGTCTTGTTAAAGCCGCCCAGTCTGCTCCAAATGGGATGCTACTTTCAACAAACCAAACAAACCCCAGAGCACTTTTATCCAATGAGAGCAGAGCGGGCCAGCAGGARCGGCAGATCTCCTGAGTGAGTAAACCTCTCCTCTCCTCGCTCACTTCACTCCTGGAACTTTGGTCTCTAAAACCTAACTTTATATTAAATATTTGTGCTCAGAGTGMCATTATCCAACAGGTATGTCCAACTTTGCACATATGACCAAGCTTCTCGTGCAAAGGCTGAGCGCGACGTGCAACATTCAAACAGTTTGTTAGTTTGTCATGCTTTTGCTCTCCTATTCTACAACATTTAACAAGTTATGACGTGTTCTGCCACATGGAAAATACTACAATAACGTTAGCACCCGGTATAAACACCTCCACCTCTGACGAGAATGCACRCACTTCATGCTACCCAAAGTGCAAACCGAGCCCGAACTGAGTTGAGTGCGTGTACGCTGGGAGTCAGATTTGTTCACTGATGAGCATAAACGTTTACCCTCACCTCATTATCCTGGARACAATCACCGTGTTCTYTAGAGCAGAGGTTCCCAAACTTTTCCATGCCATGGCCCMCCAAGCAACTTTAGCTTCTGGCCGAGGACCCCCTTGCAAGTTGACGATAAAATACATCAATATATGTAAAGAAATATCAACTTTTTAGAATGTTTTTTTTTTCTCACTTTAATTCGCTATTGAATAGCTGTAAAGCCATACTTAATGTATGCTGCCTCAAACTTCCTTTTACTTGGCCAAGAGTTTTTTACACAGTGGTCCTCCATASGCTGCTGGTTGGTTCATTTAAACTTTTTGGTCACAAACTTGTCCATTGCTATGCTAGCTTCAGACTGAACAAACTCTGACTGCCACTAACCTCAGGAGAACTGCCACCTGTAGTTTCCTGGGTGGTTCTTACAAGTTTAGTTCTGAGAGCAGGAACAAACCCAGAACAACAACAAACCAGAGAGATGGGTGGTTGTAGCAAAATCAAAGACRTTTTTGTCAAAAAATAAAGACATCATGTAAATATCGAAAAACAGGACAGTAAATTTATAAATAAATAAACTCAATGAATAAATGTGCTTTAATTCCCTTTTCTGTTTTCATTAAGGCTCTATAGTAAGAAAGTCCACAGCATTTCAGTGTCAACAAAGTTATAGCTATCAGATTCTGATCACCTAACTGCATTTTTAAGTGGTTGACAAGTGTTGTTTTTTTTTGTACACCTGTCTTAAAATGTAGGCATACTGGAGCCAGGTTGGGATGTAGGTGGCTCACAGCAGTGGGCACTTAAAAATTTCCTTTATTTTCAAATCTAAAACGTAACAGATCAGAAAGATGAGCATGGCGAAAGACCTTTCATTATATTGTTATAAATTATATTTAAAACGGTAATTGAAAAACAAACAGAATTTTTTTTGTTAATATTTAACATTTTTATTTTAACTTCTTAAGCCCTACGAGGTTTTCTTGATGACTTTACTCAAAATACCATGCTGAAATGTAAYCGAGTGTATCTCAGAATTGATAAACGCCACTTGAAAATCTTAATATCAAAATAAAGCTAACTTTTGGGAGATTTCATCAGAAGTGTAAATATTAAAACAACTGCTATGGTTTTAGAGATTTTAAGGATGGAACTTTTTTTTTCCATTCTCGCCTGAATAATTTTTGCATTAGATACTACAGGGCTTAGACAATGAAACTGRAACACCTGTCATTTTAGTGTGGGAGGTTTCATGGCTAAATTKAATTGAATAGATTGTGGCCTGTTGGCCACAATCTTCATTAATTGCACATTGCACCAGTAAGATCAGAGTGTGGAGGTTCAATTAGCAGGGTAAGAGCACAGTTTTGCTCAAAATATTGCAGTGCACACAACATTATGGGTGACATACCAGAGTTCAAAAGAGGACAAATTGTTGGTGCACATCTTGCTGRTGCATCTGTGACCAAGACAGCAAGTCTTTGTGATGTATCAAGAGCCACAGAATCCAGGCTAATGTCAGCATATCACCAAGAAGGACGAAAGATATTGTCAGATTATCGATATCGGCAAATGAAAAAATGCATTGATTTTATTTAATTTTTTTGTCCGTATCGCCCAGCCGTAAATATCATCTGACTCAAAAATACTTTGGTCTAAAGAGGAGTTCATGATTGGTTCTATGACTGCATGGTGCCCAGGGGCCTCATGTACAAATACTTGAGGGTTTCCTACTGAAACTTGGCCTAGACCTAAGTCAAGGAATTAACATGTACACAAACAATGCGCTTACGGCAGCAGATAGAACTGTGATGAAAGTTTAATGTTTCTAATTTTTCAGTCTGTGAGATTATTAAGAACAGAAASTGTGAACGGGTTGTGCTTCGTACTGACAGTTAATTGAGTCTGTTACCATGGTGGGTTATCTTGTCGCTCTTTAACAGAGCCTCCGCCACTAAAAGCTCTGACTTTCAGAGTCAGATATAGGTAGTTGTGAAAAGAAAAAAATCCTTCCATAGTAATCCCTCCGGTGTGTCCAATAATAGTTTGACATCATTAACTGTTTCCCTTTTTACCCTCTTAAGTGTTGTGAACATTTAAGAACCTGTGGAAACCTGTATGCAGGCTGCCATTGGCTTGGTGCTGGTGTTATTGATACATTCAAACCTTTGATTGGAAAATATTGCATGTCACCTTTTAGTGTGCATAGACCCTCTACATGAGGCCCAGGTTCTGTGGTWCTAAAACAAGCCCATATGATCACCCCTCCACTATTGTGCTTGACAGATGGTATGAAGTGTTTGCGCTGTCATATTGTTTGGGTAAAAAACATTGCTACTTTGGTCTTATCTGTACAGAGGACATTATTCCAGAATTCTGTTTATTTATTTAGATAAAACTTTACAAACTTGTCATTTTGCCCTTTTCTTTAGTAGTGCTTTTCTCCTGCAACCTTTCCAAACAAACCAAAATGCTTTAGTCTTTTTCTAATTGTCCCATCTTGGCCTTTAATTTTTAACCTGTTAACTGAAACCTGTAGAGTCAGATGGAGCTTTTGGGCTTTTGTAATTTCTCTCAGCATTGCRGTCTGACCATAGTGTGAATTTCCTGAGACGTTCAGTTTATTTATAGACTGYCAGTTCACACCAAAAGTTTTCTCACAGCACTAAATAGATAAGGTAAGAGCAGAACATTTAAAAGTCAATATTTCTTAAAGTAATGTGATTTTCTTGCATTGCCCAAACATACCTTCTGTTTTGCATTTAATTTTTATTCCTCAATAGGTTCAGATTTAGTGTACCTGCTTTGTTTGACCTTCTTTTCTATACTGCTTGTTTYGTTCTGTTTTTGATGAATTGGTGCATAATCTTTCACAGGCATTAATTAAATGCTAAGTTTATCAGTTGTGCATCTCAGTGGTACAGTTTCATTAATCAGCCACCAGTCAGTTACTTGTTTTTATTTTCTCTCATTGAATGCAAATTTTAGATTACTTGCAAATCATGGCTTTTTTATATACATTTAGCATATTGCACATTTCTCAAAACATTTGTTTGTGTGAACAGTCMGCTTTGGATTATGTTGTTCTCACAGAAACTAATCAGAACATGAAAAGTCCTAATGTCCTCGTGACTGCAGAATAAAAAATCTAAAACATTTTAAACTGRCTTTCAGACAGTTTTATTCAAATCTGAGTCTTCATGCAAAGTGTAAGTATTTCTGACAGAAGTGTTTGTGGTTTTAAAGTAATACTGAGGTCTTGAGGGGTATTCTGGTTAGAGACTAGCTGTTCATCTGTCCATCTGTTTTCTGTACATACCTGTTCCTGTTCATGGTTTTGTGGAGCTGTTGCCTAAATGCAGCAGTCATTGAGTGAGAGGTGGGGTACACCCTGAACACAGGTCTAACAGTGTGTTTTGTTTTATTTATTTTTTCTGTAGTTCTCACAGCTGCTGTCACACAAGCTTCCTTACAGTCAATGCTCCACAAAATCCTCACAGCAGGACCATCAGCTTTCAACATCACTACTATTCTGTCTCAAGCTGCTCAGCTGTCCAACCAAGGTAAATCAAGAAGCATTTATGTGCCGAACGGTCAATGCATKGGCATTTTTTCAGTTTTCTAAAACTGAGTAGATTCCACTGGTTTCTTAAATTGTTGGGKTTTTTTCTTCCCCTCAACAGCTCAGCAATCAAATCAGTCACCGATGTCTTTAACATCAGACGCGTCGTCGCCAAGGTCCTACGTCTCTCCGAGGATCGGCACACCACAGACCAACGTTGGCTCTCTAAAGTCCCTGCTCAGCTCACAGCCTGTTCTGTCACAGTCAAAAGTAAGATGCAAAAATTCACAATCTTTGACAAGGATGCACATAGTCTTTAGTCAACATTTGGACATTTTTGTCTTGAAACAATTTTCTACAGGTTTTACGTGAACATCAATCATGGGCACCAATATGAAATAATTTAATCAACACTAGAATATTTATATTCAAGTAAATGAAACTATCCATTGCTGTATTGTTTTCTTAATATGTTTGTAGCAGTCGTGCTGGGTTGTAGTGTGTCTGTTTGTCTGAAAGTTGTGTTGATGCAGCAATCCTGACTTGTTGTGTTACAGGTGAGCACATCCGCCGTGAAGCAGTCATCACTTTCCCAACCCACGTCCCAGCAGCCCCTGTCCAGTGAGAAATCCCACAGCCATGATGCCACCACAGCCTCCCCGCGCACACTCCAGCGCCAAAGGTCAGTGCAAGTGTACACCGCACTGACCTCAGAAAGAGTTAGTAAAATAATGGGCAGAAACAGAGATGTGTGTTTCTAATCTTCTAGTTTGCAGGACTGATGGTGTACCTCACCTTTTTTTTTTTTTTTGAGGAGAATCAGATTTGCTCAGAGATTTAACAGATGTTTCTCTGGCTCTTACAGCCTACTAGACATGCAGAAATAGGGTGAGAGCGCACCTGAGGCCTTGRCAAAACTTTGATTCARATCCAGGGCAGGTGGAGGGAGAGAAGGAAGTGGAGCTTTTGGAGCGACTGATGTTGAGGGAAAGATAACAAACTTCTAGTTACGACTGCCGGTGTTTACTGGACGAGGAGGAGAGGAGTGAATCAGCGGAGCGCTGCATTATTGCTAAATAAAAATCACTTCCTGTTGGTGACTGGTTCTTGGGAATAATCTCCACTCCCAACAGTTAGCGGAGCTGGCAGTGGAGGATGTTGTAAGACTAGAGGAGGTGGAGGTGAGTAGCGATGGAAGGATTTTTGGAGCTGGTGCCAAAAGCTCAGACAACCTTCTGCATGTTTTTACACTTTGTGTGCAAAGAGGCTGCTGAATGGAAGTAGCAGAACAAAAGTTTTGTCACGTAACGTAAAAGCTGACACTGTTCATGATGCAGACTTTATAAAACCTAAAGACTGTGAAAACAGTCATGACGTTGTTCATGATACGTGACATGTTTCTGACAGGTTCATGATAACCTCCCTCAAATAAGTTGTCACTGTTGTTTCGTTTTTTTGTTGCTCTTGTTCGTAGAAAGTGAATTGTGTCTGGCAATTTTGCAGCATTAGCATCTTGTGAACGCACAGTAGTGGGAGTGGATAACTGAATGGACCTATAGGCCTCCACATACACAAATTGACAGAATTGTTGGTACCCCTCGTTTAATGAAAGAAAAACCCACAATCACAGAAATAACTAGAATCTGACAAAAATAATAAAGAAGAGGAAGAAGAAGAAAAAATGTATTATATCTGCCCCTTTTTCTCAAATAAATAGATTCACTCAAAAATAATCTTCACACCATCCATCGTTGTTTGAGCCAAGGTGGACTTAATAGGAGATGACCAAAGAGGACAMCAAATCATAAAGAAGCCAGACTGGAATTTGCCAAACTACATGTTGACAAGCCACAAAGTTTCTGGGAGTATGTCCTCTGGACAGGTGAGACAAAAACAGAACTTTTTGGCAACATCAGCTGTGTGTTCACAGAGGGGAAAATGAAGCATATGAAGAAAAGAACACTGTCCCTACTGTGAAACATGGAGGAGGCTCTGTTATGTTCTGGGGCTGCTTCGCTGCATCTGGCACAGGGGGGGGGTCTTGAATCTGTGCAGGGTACAATGAAATCTCAAGACTATTTAGGGTTTATAGAGAGAAATTTGCTGCCCAGTGTCAGAAAGCTTGGTCTCAGTCGCAGGTCATGGGTCTTGCAACAGGATAATGACACAAAACAGCTAAAAATACCCCAGAATGGCTAAGAGGAAAACACTGGACTGTTCTGAAGTGTCCCTCTATGAGCCCTGACCTAAATCTTATTGAGCATCTTTGGAAGCAGCTGAAACATGCCATCTGGAAAAGGCACCCTTCAAACCTGAGACAACTGGAGCAGTTTGCTCATGAGGAGTGGAACAAATACCTGCTGAGAGGAGCAGAAGTCTCATTGACAGCTACAGGAATCGTTTGATTGCAGTTATTGACTCAAAAGGTTGCACAACAAAATATTTAAGGGTATCATCATTTCTGTCTAAGCTTGTTTCATTAGTTTGATTTTTATTTATTTTTTATTCTGTTGAAGCATGGTTGAAAAGC